GACAGCAGAAAGGTCATAGAAACACAAAAGTTTTTTTGAGTAAAAAAAGTAATTTTATTTATATCTGTGATCTTATCAGTATTTGAAACTTTTTGCAACGAGAGGTAATATAATTGAAATAAAAGATATATACTCGTAACTGACTCTTCAAGCTCTATCAAACTATATTGAAATCAATAAAAATACAATCCACTCGAATTTTTCGTTATATGCACCTTATATAAATACAGTTCGTAAAAAATGAGATTTATTTCTGTTTCTTTAGACTTTACGCGATGACTTTATTGGTAATCTTATTAATTTTTACTTTCAATATTCATAACATTCGAACTGCACCTCCACCATTAACGAGCTATGATGATCAAGTAAATGCTTTATTAAATCAAATGACTGATGAAGAAAAAGTCGGTCAAATGACACAAATCACTATTAATTTAATATTAAAAGATCCAAGTAAACCACCACCTGAAATTGAAGTTGATCCTGCTAAATTAGCTATAGCTATAAAAGACTATAAAGTTGGTTCTATTTTAAATGTAGCTGAAACAGGTGCTTATAGTCTTACTCAATGGCATACTATTATAGGAAAAATACAAGATGAAGCAAGAGATACTCGTTTACATATTCCAGTTTTATATGGTATTGATTCTATTCATGGTGCTAATTATATTCAAAATGCTGTTTTATTTCCACAAGCAATTGCTCTTGCTGCAACATTTAATACAACATTAGCACATGCACTTGGTCGAATAGTTGCACATCAAACACGAGCAGCAGGAATTCCATGGGATTTTCATCCACAAGTTGATGTTGGGTAAGTTTAATTTCATATTTATTTATTCAATCTAAATATATATATATATATATATATATTTTTAGTCGTCAAAAATTATGGCCACGATTATGGGAAACATATGGTGAAGATGTAAAAGTTGCTAAAGATATGGGTCGAGCATATACTGAAGGTATGCAAGGTGATGATTTAACATCACGTGAAAATGTAGCTGCTTGTCTTAAACATTATGTTGGTTATGGACAACCATTATCTGGTCGTGATCGAACACCAGCATGGATTGATGATCGACATATGCATGAATATTTTTTACCACCATTTGAAGAAGGTGTTCGTGCTGGTGCTGTTTCAGTTATGATTAATCCTGGTGAAGTTAATGGTATTCCTGGTCATGCTAATTATCATTTATTAACTAAAATTCTTAAAGAGAGGTATCAATTTCATGGATTTACTGTTTCCGATTGGGTAAATCTTTATATATATATATATATATATATGTTGAACTAGTTTTTCAGAAAAAAAAACAAGGATAATTTATTTTTCTAGGAAGAAATTAAACGTCTTCACTTTCGTGATCATACAGCTGATACACCTAAAGAAGCTGTTCGTCAAGCAGTTATGGCTGGAGTTGATATGAGTATGGTACCATTTGATTATTCATTTTATAATTTAACACTTGAATGTGTAAAAGATGGTTCAATACCACGAACACGTTTAGATGATGCTGTACGTCGTATTCTTCGTGTTAAATACGCATTAGGTATAATTATTTTATTTTATTTTATTTTTTGAAAGACAACCTAAGAAGAGTGTTGAAGTATAGGAACAAAAATTTGAATCCTCCTCCACAAACCGTGAGGAATGCTGGTCAAAGGTCGTTACACAGTCTTTGATACACAATCAAAGACCATATATCAATAATGTCTTGCTAAAATAGATGAGTTAGTCCCTTGTTGCATTTCTGGAGGACTTAGTGAAAGGATGGTGAAAAAACATATCCCAAAATATATAGAATACAGCAATCTCCTTGTTGATTAGTACTAGCAATTATTTAAATCTCACAGGGATTGCATTAACAAGTTTTCTTTTTCTATAGGTTTATTCATTGGAAACAATGCATGGCCTGATAGTTCAGCAATAAATAATTTTAATAAATCTGAATATGAGGCAACTAATCTTCAAGCAGCACGTCAAGTAATAACTTTACTTAAAAATAATGGAAATATTTTACCATTAAATATTACGCGAATAACTGAAACAAATAAATTATTAATTACTGGTCCAACATCAAATGTTCTTACATCACTTAATGGTGGTTGGTCATATACATGGCAAGGAAATGATGAATCAATTTATCCAAAAAATTTAACAGATAAAACAATTTTAGAATCATTTCGAAAACGTTTAGGTTCAGCTAAAATTGATTATTATAATAGTTCATCATTTGATCAATTATTTAATATTGATAATTTATTAAATGCTGCTCAATCTGCTAGTTATATATTAGTATGTCTTGGTGAAAAAGCTTATACAGAAACACTAGGAAATATAAATGATTTAACATTAGATAATGCTCAATTACAATTAGTCGAACAAATTAGAAGTCGTACACAAGTACCAATTATTATAGTTCTTGTTCAAGGACGACCAAGAATTATTCGTCGTATTGTTGATATGTCATCAGCTATTCTTACGATGTATTTACCTGGTATGGAAGGGTATGTATAGAATATACTTTTTAAAGTTTTATAAATGTGATTGTTTCTTTTTTTTTGTTTTTGGATAGTGGTCAAGCACTTGTTGATGTTCTATTTGGTGATTACAATCCAAGTGGACGATTACCAATAACTTATCCAAAATATAATCATCATTTATCAACATATGATTATAAATGGCCTGAAGTAGACGTTGGTAATTATATTGATGTAGAATTTGAATTTGGACATGGTTTAAGTTATACAACATTTGATTATTCAAATCTTAATGTTCCATCAACATTGAATTTGAATGATCAATTAATTATTACATTAAATGTACGTAATAGTGGTTCAAGACAAGGTGATCATACCGTACTTTTATATATTTCTGATCTTTATCGATCCATTACACCACCAAATAAAGAATTAAAAGGTTATACTAAATTATCATTACAAGTTGGTGAACAAAAATCAGTTCAATTTACTCTTGATCGTAATGATTTATCATTCATTGGTATTGATTTAACTCGTCAGACTGAACCCGGTCTTTTTATTGTAACTGTTGGTAATTTACGAGCTAATTTTACATTAATCGGCGGAGACGGACCTGTTGACACAACAACAAGATCTACATCAATCAATCATCAATATTCAATTTTCTTGATTAACATTCTTCTTTTTTTACTTGTCAAACTAATATAAAGAATATAATGCTTTTTTTTCTACTATATAATACAGCTCTAGATTAATCTAGAAAACATACATTTGATTGAACAATTTTTTCAAGTATTTTTTTTTTCAAAGCTTTAATAAATAGAAGTTAAAAATAAGAGAAGACAGGTCTTTCAATGCCACTTAAATGAAATATGGTTTGTGTCTATTCTATCGAACTTACATTTTGCAACGTGTGACAATGGTGAAGACCAGAAAAAAAAACTTTGTAACTTGCGTAAAAAAACCTGCAAATGTTGATGTTCATCGGAATGCGATCTTCGAAAGATGAGATTCTGATCTTCTTTATCGGGAAAAAAATTTTAATGGCAAAACAGAAATATTTCACAAAAAGAAAAAGATGTTGTATTGTGAACTTCTTTTGCTGTTGAAAATGTTTAATAGACATGTAAAATTAGTCGTCGAAGACGAAAGTAAATTTTGGCAGATTCTAGTTAATCTAGTTCAGATTTTTCGTACCGTTCTTTGTAATGAAGGATCCTACTTCAATTTATTGACGATATATGATTCAATATTTACTTGCACAAAACGTAATGTTTCTTCAAAAACATTTTCAAAGTCAGCTTGATTGAGAATATATTATTATTAGCTCTCAGAGGCGTCGAAAAATATTGACATATGTACAAAAGATATAATACGTTGCTTAAATCTATCAATGTGATGGAAGAAGACAAGTATTTGTGTCTTCTATAGTCTACGAAGCATGAATCTAGAGTAGGCTTCTGCTTTTCCAAGTCATATAGCTCCACTGCTCATACTTATTAAACACAAGTTGATAGTAGATAAAATGTGGATTGACTTTGTAGTAAGGCATGATTTGTCAGAAGAAAACCAAAACTAAACAGTAATAGAAAACTTGTACAGTAATTAGAGTCTATCTAAGCCTTTATCTATCCACTAAAAGGTGGACTCGAGCCTACTCAAGCCTCATAGCTTCACCGTCTATATTCTTAAAATATTGAAAATATAAGAATTTGAGTGACAGTGACGATGAGTACAAGTGTGTGAATAAGGATGGCACCTGTATCTAATATTAATCAATTTATACTTCTTTTTTGATTGATAAGAATTCGAACAAAGTACCAATTGGAAAACACATCTTTTCAAAGCATATATCGTTGAAACAACTGCATTGGACTTATTTTTTACGCTTATTAGCATTAATTTGTTATCTTGTTTTATTTCATGTAACACTATCTATGAAAGAAAAATGAGTTATAAATATACTTATACTCATCGCTTCAAAATATTTGACGTAAATAACTTTGCACTCATTCAACCATTACAATATAAGCAGTTTATAATAATCCATAGATAGTAACAGATTATTTTAAAAGATATAACAACATTTCAAGTCAGTCAGGCTTATTTTACTTGCACTGATCTTAAGTAATTATCAAGTTCTTTTGTTACTTATTATCACAAATAATCAAATGCGACGTATCTTACTTATTGTTATCATAATGATAGTTATGGTTAATTCAATAGATAGATCTTTACTGCCACAACTAACACAAGCAGCACTTATACAAAAACTTTGACAATCTCAATTAAATAAATTAGCAAAGAGATCAATTGCTACTGAATATGAAGAATGATTTTCAATTGAATCGATCAATTTGTTTTACTAAGTAAGTAGAAACTTATGAAAATTTCTACAATGAATTTTATTTAATCTATTTTTATATAGTACATTCTTTTTTTCAAATAAAGTTTCTTTTCTCTAGAAAACAGATTGAATATTTTTTCATTTATCTTTATAATCATTTTCATCATAATCAATTAGAATTTTTCGGTTTTGCTTCGACTATCAATTGTCTCCATATAGTGTTGTGTAAATTATATTCAAGTAGCGAGTTTCCATCTGTATTTGACCAATTTTCTAAAAAGGGAGCTGGTGCTTCCGATTGTCTAACTTGCTTGATACCACTTATTCGCCATTGACATTTGTTAAAACCTAATTTTAAAGTGTCAACATACTTTTCACATATTGGACATTTGGCATTAGATGCATCACTATCTACGAGAACATCAAATTTTTTGAAACCTATAGGAATAATCACTTGTTTCTCGTAAATTTTACAATTAGGATTCATACAATTGCCAAGAAGAGAAATTCCAGGTTCTATACGGCGCCAAGGATCATTCTTAGGAAGTTTGAGAAGCGTGTGTGGAGGTTCGATTTCATCGAGTCGTATGATGTGTAGTCCATCTGCAGAATTGTAACAACTACGTACTCGTAAATATCGACCTGGCAATAATAATATTTCGTTCTCACTATGAAAATAAGTATGATTTTTAATACATGGACCATTAAGACATTTAATTTGAAACATTGTTCGAATGCCAGTCTTACCACAAAATTGATCAGACTCAAGAACATGAATAGAATCTGTACATGAACTAAATCCCCACCAAATTTTTTCAGTGTTGGGTGGATATTCATTCCTCAAATCTTTTCTAACACCACGATAAATAACATCATCGATTGAAGGAAGTTGTATTAGTGCGCCGATAAATAACCTCAAAAAAGGAAACCATGGTTTTAACAATTCGCGATTTTCCATGCGTAGAGTTTTATTTAGAATAAAATAGAGACTTTCTTCAGTAGGAAGCCATTCAAAAGTATAAAGCATAATTGAACCAGATTGATCTGGTGATAAACCATCGGCAGGATTTGTGCATCGTTCTTTAACCACCCATACTTTTGATGATAGACTATCTTTATTAAATAGATGAATAATTGGCTTAATTGCTTCGTCTAATGACACTAAAGGTGTATCTTGATACCCTTCGATAGGTAACATAGCATGAAGATGTTCATTTTGAAGATCATTTATTCTTGAGAACATTTTACTAATAGAATGTTGAATAGTAATGAATTTTAAAATTATTTAGTTCAAATTTTTCAGTCAGAAATATATAAAGTGATACTTTCGAGAATTCACAATTATGTTAAAATGAATGCGTTACTACTTACAAATGTTAAATGACAACAATGAAATAAAAAATATTGTTGGAAGAAAAGAAAGAAAGGTTTCCATGGTAAGCTGGTAAAAGAAAACTACAAAATAAAAACACTCCTTATCATGCACATGATCATAAGAGAAAAGAAAAAAACACTTAAGTGACATCAGCAGACTAAAAAAGAAGAAATATAACAGAACGAAAAAAACAAGTATGCTATTCATCTGCACCCGGAGCACCATCGATAATTAAAATTTTATCTCAGAACTGTAGTCGATTTGGACCTTGTGGCTAGTACATGCGGCTCTCGTTTTGATACAATACACCATGATACATCACTTTCAAAAAAAAACTAGCGTTATAGTGTACATTATACTGATCAGTATACTAGAGGTCTACCGACGGTTTTTATCCGGTTCGAAACACATGGTGTATATGTTAAGAAAATCAAATGCAGAAAACAAATATTAGATGTAGTTTTTTATCATCGTTTTCTTGGTTTCTGTACAAACAGATCATTAAAATTCAGTTAGATCCATATTCAACGAAATTATTGCTCGTTTTGTTTGAATTTATTAATATTTCTTAATAAATATTGATCAAAATCAATTTCAAAAAACCAAAATAATAGATTTAACGATCTAATCAATCCAAACTGAAGAATGATTATATATCAAATCAATTATCAGTTTAGAAATAACGCGGTGTAAAAAATTAGTAAAAATACTCGAGATCGTGTACAGCATCCGCTTATCTGCCAAGAAAACTTCACGACATCTTTCGGCAAATACAACAGAGAGGTAAGAATGATTTCTTTCGTTTCAGTCGTAATTGCACAACTATGTGTCTTATTTTTATGACTATTGGTTCCAAAAAATGTGTAGGTGGAAGAGGCAATATGTTCGTAACCTTTGATTTCTGTCAAATAGCTATTGTACTGATCCTAAAAAGAAAACAGCGTAAGCTACTTGGTTAATTCTCTCCAATATTCAAGAGAACCTAGGAAAATGTATAGATTTTCACAAAATTTATAAGATAAAAATAAAGAACTGATCTTATATATTTATATTAAGTTATGTTGAACTGTAATTGAAGTCTAGTTAAATCTAAGAAGTTGTAGAGTTCGCAGAATAAACTCATTTGAATCACATTTATCACAGCGTCCTCATCCTCGCACAGTGTCGTATGTGAAAACTACACCAATGAGTGCAAAGTGTATGATTCAAATGAATTTGTGTCATATAAACGTATAGCGTTGCTAAGTTTTGTCCAGGTATTTTCCAACCAAAAACGTGGTTGATATTCTAGCTTATGTATTCCCTGTGATAGAATCATAGCTGCCTTCTCTTGAAATATAGTACTCAAAAAATTTAAATGGTAATTCGCTTGTTTATAAAGATATTTTCGAAAATCATTTTCCTATGTCGACGCAGACGAAGTTATTAATTCATCAATTACAGTATGAATAAGTGAAAATGAATACACTGTCTAGTAAAAAACAAAAAAAGAAGCAGGTACGTGCTGTTTTCTTAATGCAAATGACAATCAGAATGTATTTTTGACTAAAACAAAATTATTTCATCCTTTTGTACCTAATTAAAAATAAATTCTATCTTAGTTTCATTTTGCCTGTAACATATATACGTAACTATCGAAGTTTTTAGAGTACGACTCATATGCTAAGCAAGAGAATGAACTACTATTCACATGATACTACTCCGAATATGTATTTGGCCCTTATTCCTATCATAACTCGTTGCTTATGAAACTCTAAAAGATTCTTTATATTAAACCTATTTATGATATTATTATAGACAGTCAATTTTTTTTTCTCCAATTATATACAAGTGTAGTAAACATGTTAACACCACTTACACATTGCAAAATTAATCGTACATCTGAACAATCAAAAATTAAATCTATACTTAAAGAGAATTCACTCAGAACTTGTCTTCCCGGTGGTATCCTAATTGGTTCTCGTGCTGCTCGTGAACTTTTGCCCAACTTTCGAGGAGTACCAACAAACAATAATGCAGACTGGGATATTATTGGTTCTTCGAGTTTTCTTTTAAATTGGTTAAAAAATAGACATAACGCTATCAATACGATCGATATGATCACGCCTGTATCGAATGATGATGATGATAATGATGATCAATTAGACTTATATATATATTGTACATTGATTGATGGATCTAAGTATGATTTTTTAATTCCACGATCATCAACATCCTATACAGCATATATATTAGATAATTCAGTAAATTGGATAGTACACAAACAGTATTGGGAACTACGAGAAGAAAAAATAGATTTAATTTATTGTGCTTCAGCTAAACTTCTACTAATATTAAAAAAATATATGCTCTACTATTCACATCAATGGGAGAAGACAGCAAAAGATTATCGTGAACTTTTGGCAGTTACTTCACCTCTAACTGCTGATGACATGATATTGTGCGATTTATTTATTCGATATAACGAAAAAATCTATGGCAAACGTCCACCTAATACAAATGAATTTGTCATTAATTCGACGAAAGATCAAAAATGTATTACTATCAATCGAGACGAGTTTTTTCAACATGAAAAAGACAAACAAATATCATTTATATATAAAATAGCTATGTCATTATCTTTTAATGATGACATTCTCATTGGATTGGAACATATTTGTACTCAAGGTCCATCATGGTTAGTAGATTATGTAATAGAAAATTGGATTGTTATTCAACAAGAAAAATTTAAACAAACATTTCAATTATCATATCCATGTATTAAATTTCAAATTGAAAATTATCGTTTATTTCCAAACATACCTGAAATTCCTACAAAACGAATTCTTCATTTTATCAATGATTCGATTGATTTATATTCGATGCAACTCGTCTGTAAACAATGGTATACAATTTTACGTGATGAAATATTTTGGCAAGATTTATATATTTCTCGTTATGGAACATATACTAATCAAATTAATAATATTCAAAGTTGGAAAATGTTATATCTTTTGAAACTCGAAGGAAAATTTGCGAATGATAATAATAAATTAGATAAATTGATCGATGCTACAATAAAATTAAGACAATATACAACGAATGATATCTTACAATTATGGGAAGATTTAACGCATCAAAATCAATCGATTGAACAAGTTTCTATATCTAAAATTAATTACATTCTATCAAATTCATTTTATTATCAAATAGATAAAACATCAGATCATTATTCTGTTCGATTGATTATAATTGGATTAGAACATGAACGTTCTCGATCGAAAATACATTTAAACTTACGTGTAGGAGAATATGGTGGTTCTCGTTTTACTGATCATATGGAACAATTGTCTATTCACTATGAATCAAATACTAATGAACAGCGTTCATTGATATTTCTAGGTCCAGAATTATTTGGATTTCATATAGGACAATGGGGTTATGTATTTACAGAATCGACATATTTGGGACGAACTTCAAGTACTCTATCTGATCAATATCCATCAGGACTTCTCATTTGTTTATTCATTATGATGGTCCATCCTGATCATCGAGCACAATTTATCAAGTATTTAAAAAAACTTGAGAATCATTGCTTGAGATCAATTTCATTTAGAGGATATTAAGAAATTTTCAAATACAAATAAACCATGAATAATATTTTGTTCTCTTTTTGTGCTATCATTAAATTTTAACCTGAAAATAAATTCATAAACGTTTTACCAAAACACGAATAGATGAAAAAATTTCGATTTTCTATTTTTGATTCGATGTAAAATAATAAAATAGAAAGTTAAAAAAAAAGTAGACTTGATATCAAATATATCTTAATTGAATTATCGAAAATATAAATAAATAATAATCAAACTTGCCGTATTTAAATCGGAAATTCTTACACGTCTATTTTTTTCTGAAAGCGATGGTATATACATTGATATATGAAACTATATAAGATTTCCAATGAATAGCATCGACACTTTTTTTTGTCTCTTTCAATGACGAGACTTGGCTTGTAGCATGGTCACAAGTATGAAAGCATACTACAAAATAATTTATAGAGTACAAATAAAAGAAATACTTTAGCTTCAGCTTTAGAATATAAAGTTCGTAGGCTCAGTATTTCTAAATAGACCTAAAAGAAATGAAATCGAATCAGTTCAATAATACTGCCCAATTTATGTTAATATTGTTCTTGATATAAAAATAAAATAAAATATTACCATAAAATTACCGCTGTCAAATACAGATAATGCTTCAGTATTTCCTGATTTTTTTAAAAATTATGTCAGTGGACTTTTGTTTCAACTTGGTCGTCAATCTTCCGAATAATTACCTTACCTGAAACATTCAATAATATACGAGAATGAACTTGTTACGAAATAGTCCTACTTACCAGTTGAATCAAAAAACATTCTATTAGAAATATCAAACTCCTGAGTAAGTAACTTGCTGTCAGACGTTGACGATCTATTGATAATATGCACATCTTTCACGATGCCAGTGAAAATTAATTTTTATGATAACTAAACATAAGTGTACTATAATTAGTAATACTTGCACGACAGGTTAGAATATCGTTACAGATTGTCAATTGAAAGACAAGTGGATCGAGAGCGTAGCTGCAATCAACATGATATTAATAGAGACCAATAGTTTCAATACGTCATAAGCATTGATCCATTAATTCAGTTGATGTAGTTATTGTCGGATAAATTATATTTTTGTCATTATCATCACGCTCATTGAAAATAACGACATCATCATCAATACTAATATTTGCAATAAGAACGACACTCTTGAAATTTTTACCAAACATATAAATAGCGCTATTGGGTATTTCAGCATTTCATTGATAAAAAATTGATTTTTATGAATTCCAACATGTTGATTAGTGATTATAAATCAATAGATTCGTTTATTGTTCAATCTCAATGATCATTAAAATTTATTATTCCTGAGTTAGCCACATACTACGAGTTATAAGCTAAAAAAATATGAAATTTCCTAAACATAATAATTTATTCAAGGACAATGGCATTATCAAGAATGACTAATAGATTTTGATATTTCTACGATATGTTGAGTAATATTATTGTATGATCGTGTGTTTTAAAATATACTTGTGCATAAATTCACTAGATGAAAATGAAAGTTAGCAATTTCTTTGAAAAATCATCACATTTTCTTATCATTTCTCTGACAAATAAATCATTTACTTCTCTAGATTGAATATTGATCAAAAACTTAGAAACAATCAACATAATTTTGACATATTTCTATTTTATCATAGATGTACTAATTACAACGTTACGAGAATCAACAAAACAAAAAGAAAACTTTTTATTTACACAAAAGAGTGATATCATATGAATTTTGATAAGATAAAAAACACCAATTAAACAATTGTCGTAATGACCTATGTATTATGTTAAACTACAAGCATACATAGACATGATGTTAGAGTTCGTCGGTTCCGATTTGATTCCCAGAATAGCATGTGGAATCACAATATAGATACGAAAATTTTAAATCTATTTTGAGATATTTTCATTATTAAATCATTGAGATTAAAGATGCCACTTATTACTTAAACAATATTATATATATATATACTGAACTTTTTAATCTAAAGAATAAAAAAAAATGAAGATTTCTCCGCATAGAATTAAGAATTTTTGTATCTATCTGATAATTTAACGGTTCTGATTTGATTCTTGGTTACAGTCTTCTGGAACTGCCAAACTCTACCTAATGTCCTTCATCCAAACTTCTTTTTGGCTATCGCCTTTGGTGAGAAATCTATGCCATACACATGATTTTACAGTATATACCATAAGCAAAATATTGCGAATACTAATAAAGGCGAAATACGAAAGATATGATAGAGGTAAGTAAACTCTAGTATACAAAGATTAAGATTGGTCAGACAACAAACAAATATCATTGCAGGTGGCGTAAGGACTATTGAAGACGAAATAGCATTAAAAAATAGATGTAAATAAAATAGAATGGAAATTGTTTGACTCAATACTTTCACTACAGAAAGTTCTCATTAAGGTTTAGAAAAGCCTAAAAGATAGAGAAAAACTTCAATCATTTTGGTTATTTCATATCTTAACTCATAAAATTATTTATCTCTTTAGATTTTTCCAGAATAAAGAAGCTATTTAATGGATACTATTTTCATCATTATTATCATTCTTATATTTGGAATTATCATAAAAAAATTATTTACTCAAACAATTAATCCATATCGGTTTTCAAAAATCCTTATTTGGGCTCAACAAGGAAAATATTTCAATTTCCTTGGTTATCCAATATTTTATTATGATTCAAGTGTACGTGATGCATCAGCTATGTCAAAACCAACCTTATTATTATTACATGGATATCCAACTTCATCAATCGATTGGTTATATATGCGAGATGAATTAGAACAACGATTTCATATTATTGCTCCAGATTATATTGGTTATGGTCTTTCAGCTAAACCAATATCATTTCCATATACAATATCTTCACAAGTAAATATGATTGAACAATTGATGAATTCATTAAATTTGAATCAATTTCATATCATGGCTCATGATGTTGGAGATACAATTGCTCAAGAATTTTTAGCTAGACAGATTGATGATAGACAATATATAATTCAATCAATAGTATTTCTTAATGGTGGTTTATTTCCAGAAGCTCATCGACCATTTTTCATGATGAAAATGTTAAAAACACCTATTATTGGAGTAATCATTCAATACATAGTTTCTCGATCATTATTTAGTTTAACAATTAATCGTGTTTTTGGTCCATCAACAAAACGAACTAAACAAGAATTAGATGAAATAACTGATTTATTATTTTACAATGCTCCATATAATCTTATACAACAATTACAATGTTATATTAATGAACGAATTATCTGTAGAGATCGATGGGTTAATGCAATAAATAAAGTACAAAAATTAGAGAAAAATCCTATTCCTATTAGAATGATAAATGGTCCATTTGATCCAATTAGTGGAAAACATATGGTTGATAGATATCGTGAAATTATTATAAATCCTGATATTTGTCTATTAGATACTAATATCGGTCATTATCCAAATTTAGAAGATCCAGAAAATACATTAAAACATTTTTTTGATTTTCATAATTCAATTTCAACTTAAATTTGTCATTAAAATAAAACACCAAAAAAAAAAACAAGAAGACGTAGAGCAATATTTTTTACACAGGAAACAAAGATATTTATTTATTTATTTTTGAACAAAATATACAGAAATCAATCACTAAATCGACTTCGTTTTGTTGTTGATGTTGAATCATTTTTACCTGTTTGTCCTGCACGTTTTTGTGTTACTGAACTAGGTACAGCTACTGAATGACTTTTTAGACCAGTATCTGTTGCTGCAACCTACATAAAAAAAAAACACCTATGAAATAAAAAGATCTTGTTGATTGAAATTTATACAAAGCTCGATTTGAATTGAGATTGAAATGCTGCTTTCATAGCTGATGTTCGATTAGTACCAGTCGCACCAGATGATGCAGTAGAACCTCCACGCCAATCAGTCATCGGACCTATTGTAGTTGTCTGAAAGAAAAAAAAGCAAAATATACATCAAGCCAATGATAAGACATGATCATAGTTTTTGTTGGATTCTACTTAAGAAGAGGAAAAGTTAATGGAGAAAGTCTTCCAAGGTTACAAAGAAACCATTCATTCATCAGTTTTCCTCAAAAAAAAGTATATTCTCAATTGAAACTTTTAGCACTCTCGTTATTAGTCGTGAACATTTTCCTTTGTCGTTACTTCTCGTTTGCGTAAATTCGTAAAGAAATTTCAGATCAATGGAAATCAATATATTTTTCTTACACATAAAAAAACTATTTACATCAATAGTTTTAAAATTAATGTTCTTTCTAATAGTTGTATGACATTTTGTTTACTGTTCATAATCAATCTTGTTTATATAGATAGTTTGATATTCCGAACTTCTGCCTATCCTGAATGCAGACAAAATTATTTTACAATATCATCTAAATCATCTTCTGTAACGTTTAGTTTTGTTATACAAAGTTCTAAAGTTATCTCTAAAGCTTTTGGTGACAGATGATTCCGTAGTTTTTTTTAAATTCATTATAGTGCACTAAAACTTCGTTCATGTTTATTAGATCCAATTGATGAAGTTATTAAAAGTTGATATAATTTAAATCACTGAAGTCTCGTATATTGAGCTGAATTTCGGAGTACTCAAGTCTTACAGAATTTCATTCTTTTTTTACATTCTAACATCTATTTCTCGTCGATGGCAAAAGTTAATTCTTTAAAACTTTTATTATAGATAGTGACTATTTAGATCTACTATCAGTAAAAATTTTATTGATTTTTCTTTAGCTTGAGTTGAGCCATTTAGAAAATATCGGTTCTTACCGAATTTCATCAAAAATAGAGATGGGTTTTGAACACGTTATTATCTTAGTTCGTAGACATGTAACATCTGTACGAAAGTCATATGTTAAAAGAATACTTCATATCCAATGAATAATATTTTTCCTGCTGATTGATTCTTAATTGACAATGTATTCCACCATCATATTTTATAAAAATTTTCGATTTGTCTACTCCAAGAAAGATTTCGAATATCTAGAGCACTCAATACTGCTCAGGACTAGAAACACTTCGATCATTCTCTTCTAAATAGTAGACGTAGCTTTCTTCGCTTTTAAACTCGAACCTCCCCTCTGTGTGGATGCTCGATAGCTGGTCATGCGGATTTCGTATGTAGTATCGATTAAATGAATTTTAGACATGTTGACAATCAAACCATACTTTGAACAATTGTCTTCTGTCTTTTTAATATATTACTCTTCAAAATATGATCTAATTCAGTTTTTATTTTAAAAAATTGGAAACAGATCTTCACTTTTACATAGTCAATATGTCTCATCGAAAGATTAATAATATTGCTTATCCATAACAGAAAATCATCCTGCTTCGTTCTTCTAATCCTATAGCCTGAATATGATAGTTTACTTTTTTTGTCGATGGTCCATTGTAATCAAAAGGATTAGATGAATCAACAATTGGTTTCGATGTTGATTGAGATGGTCCACTATGCGAACCAAAACCTGGTCGTTCTCGTTGTACACGATTTCCAAGAGCAAAATGTTTTCCACCACCACCACCACCATATCGAGATCGACTATTAGCAAAATGACTATTCTAAAAATATACATATACATATAAATTCGCATTATCTTCAAATTCACTTTGAACTTACTTGCATAGCCATATTAATTAACTCTTGTGAAACAACTTGATTAGCATTTTCTAAATTTCTAACAAGATTTGGTGCAAATTCTTTATCTGTTGGTGTTAATAATGTGTATGCTGTTCCTTTTTCACCAGCACGTCCTGTTCGACCAATTCGATGTGTATGCGTATCAATATCACGTGCAACATCATAATTAACTACCGTTCGTATTGATGGTATATCAAGACCACGTGCTAATCAAATTCAAAATAAACTATAAAATTTAATACAAGTACAAAAAAACAAATCGACAAACCAGCTACATCTGTAGCAACTAAAATTGGCATATCATGTTTTTTAAATTCATTAATTACTTGTGTACGATCATATTGTGCCATATCACCATGGATAAGGCCAGCTAAAGTAAAAATCTTATATTTGAAATTTTCTTTTTTTTTATCAAGTTCGAAATTATTTACCAGTAAAGCCATTCTCTTTGAGATTTTTTGCTAATTCTGCACAATTATCTTTACGTGTAACAAATATTAGAACTTTTCCTACTGAACAAAACAAAAACAAAAAAAAGACATTAATTTGAAAGATAAAATTTAATAAATACTTACACACAGTAAATTCAACAAGTTTAGATAAAAGCCATGCCCATTTACTTGAACCATTTAGTAGAATATGAACTATTTGAAGAATATCTTGATTAGCCTATTTAAGAAAATTATTTCAACAGTTTATTATCATGAAAAATTCAACATACTTCACCAACTTCACCTTGAACTATTCGAACAGGATCTGTAAGAATATCTCGTGCTAAATTAAGAAGAAATAATAAGAAGAAATAATCTTATTATAAAACGAAAAAAAGTTAAACCTAATTTTTCGACTTTTTTTTTAAATGTTGCACTAAATAATAAACATTGTCGATCAGGACGTACATGATCAGCAATTGAACGAACTTGTGGTTCCTTTTTTTTTTTTTTTTTTTATTTTTAATTTCATTCAATTAAAATTAATATTATCTAATAAAACAAAAACTTACAAAACCCATATCAAACATTCGATCAGCTTCATCAAAAACTAAATATGTAACACGTTGTAAATTTGTACCTTTTTTCTTAACTAAATCAATAAGACGACCCTAAATAAAATATAGAAAAAAATTCGAATTTCATAAAAGAAAATTTTTTTTTTCTTACAGGTGTACAAACAAGTATTTCACATCCTTCTTTACAAGCCATGATTTGTTCATGCATATTTCCACCACCAAATGCACATACAGAATTAATATTATATAGTTTTCCATATTTTTTACATTCAAGATGAATCTGTTGAGCTAATTCACGTGTAGGAGCACAAATTAGAACAATTGGACCATCATCAACTTTAAGTTGTTCCTATTCAAATAAAGAAATCAATTTTTTTTTTATTAAAAAACATAAAAAACAAAAATTACTTGAGCCATAATGTGAACAATAGCTGGCCAAATAAATGCACCAGTTTTTCCACTACCTGTTTTAGCTATACCAATTATATCGCGTCCACTTAAAGCACTTGGAATAGCCTCAGTAAAAATAAAATAAATAATAATAATAATAATATTTAAAATAAATTATTTCTACTTGTGATTGAATAGGTGTTGGTGTTGTAAATTCCGATTTACGAAGTGTTTTCATTAAACGTTCATCAAAACCAAAATGAGCAAAACTAACGACTGGACGAGGAATATTTACACCACGAACCTATTGTAAATATATATATATTTAAATGAAAAATCTAACAACGGAAGTCCTTCCACTGATAAATCGCTTTTGAGTTGAGATCCTTAACTTATTACTGCGAAGATACTGCATTTTTACGGTAATTTTCAAGTCAATACTGTAGTCTCACTCAGGAATAATAAAAAAAAATGATTTTGCACATTTCAATTCGAAACTTTGTATAGTTGCAGATCTTTTAATTTGCTTCTATTCTAAAATAAGAATATTGAATCTGCTAGTGTATACGAACGATGTAAAAGGCAAGTTTCTACCATAGTCGTTACAATAAAAAGATATAAAAATTTTGCAATAAATTATTCTTGTTAAGGCGTGACTGTATACAAAGTTTCGAATTGAGATTCGAAAATTATTTTTTGTAGTATTCATTAGGAGGACCATAGCATCAGGGTACTTGATTATAGGGGGATGGCGGGCGCCTTCTCCTCGTTCCAAAATGTCTAACTTTCTGAAAAAATTCATAATACCCTCGGCTAATTTGTTTATAGCGTCAGGATAACTTTGGACAAAAATCGAATTTTGAAACACTATTAACCTTTCTCTAGTAAAAGGTGAGATAAAAATAAGCAGATGATGTGTTACGAGGTGAATAGGATCGGAAATGACGATTTGATGGCAGAGATTGCGTCATGGTACATTTCGTTCTTTTCTCCGTCATCACTTCTAGTACTACGAAAATTCTGCCGAATTATGAGTCCTTTCCATACAAGAAAAACATGGTAGAAATGAAGTATCTAAGCAGCAGTAAATTAAGAACCTGAACTCTTTTCTGAATATTCATAGCTTATTATGCTATATATATATCATGTACATAGTCTTGACTGAAAAAACAATTCATCAGTTGCAGAAATTTCCTTGTAAGTTTAGAATAAAATTCTTTACGTTAACACCAAGTTTATTTCTTAATTCATTGACTTGTTGATTTGATAGATTACGAATATCTTCATGTTCAACATAAAAATTTTTTTCAAATGGTGAATATTCAATTGTAGAATGATCAATAGATGGAAGAGGATCAATATGCTAAAAAAAAAGAAAATGATTATTTTATTATTTATTTATTTATTTTTTGTCTTCTTTCATACTTTAGATATTTCAGGAGCAATTAAATTACCTAAAAAGAATACATAGATAAATAAAAAAATAAAAAATGATATTCAAATTAAGAAAAAATACCATCATCATCATATTGTAATTCTCGATCTTCATCATCATCATTATCTGCTATAGGTAAACCAGCATTTGGATTTTCTTCAAGCCAACGAAAATATGATTCTTGATCATCTTCTTTATCAATATCATCACGTATTCCTCTATAAATTTATTTTATTGAAATTTATCCTTATATATTTAAATATAACTTACTTTTCTTGTTTCTGTTCTTTTTTCTTTCCTATAGATTCTAAATCTTTTTTTGCTTGATTATTATTTGCTTTCATAAATTGTTCAAGTGGGTCTTCTTCTTCATCATCATCATGATCATCTTCTTTCTGTTCTGCTTGATAACTAGGACTACCTGGTGCTGGTTGATAATCTAAATCATCATTAAGCTTTTTAGTATTAGTTGTCTTTGTTTTATTGTGTGATTCATCATTAAGATCATCAGAATCAAAATATCTATTTATTTAATAATAAATATATACATAAATAGAATTATATTTCAATCATACTCTTGTTCAGTACGATGTGGTTGTATAACAACATCAGTTTTTCTAACATTAGCACGTAAACTACTCGGTAAACTAGATAGAAAAAGAAAAGGCAAGTAAGATTTTAAGTAAGATTATGAAAAATTTTACGGAAAAAGTTGTTGTAATTTTGGATCAACTGGTTTATTATTTGATGACATTGTCTAAGAATAAATTTTCAAAAATATCAATTTAATATATTAATATGTAGGAAAAGTACAAAAGAACTATTCGATTCGTCAAAAATTTGATTATAGTAAGAACCATTGATTTCTTTTTTATGATGTCGCTATACGATAGAAATAAATATTGAATATGAAAAAAAGTTTTATTTTTAATAATTATTAATAGGTAAAACAAAAACAAGTTAGATTAATCATTCAATTTTAAAAAACCCAAATCTGGAAATTCTATACAATTAACTCTATTTCCATTTTGATCATATATAACAATATCAGCATAGTTTCTACAACAATCATTTAGTGATAATAATAATTGTCAATGAAAACGATTAATTTCATTGGTAAGATATTTAGTTGTTTCTTTATTAGATTGAAAAATATTTTCATTAGAAGTCCTCCCATTAAGAATGTTCAAGTAAAAATCGCATTTTTCGAATCTCTCTCTAGAGCTCATCAGATTTGACCCAGCAAATTTTAATCTGTTATGGTTAATGAGAGTAAAGTTTACTTTGACTTTTTATCCAGGTTGTAAATATGATGCAGATTTACCATCAACAATAACATTAAGTTCTAATGTTCGAGATTTAATTTTATGAGAATATAAACGTTCAATATGTTCATTTGAATTATTTTTTCCTTTTACTTTAATAAAAAAATCTACTGATGGAATTACAATTTTTCTATTGTTGTAAAAAATTATTGGATGAATCAATGAAATCTAATTCATAGAAAAAGAATTTCTTGAGAAGTGTATTTAAGAATACGAATAAAACTGTAAGGTTAACTGTCTTTGATCGGTTCTGTATCAATAGGATATAGACCAGGATGAGTTAAATTAGTATTTAAAATATTGAATGAACGTTCGAAATGTATTGAAATATTTAATTTTATTTGAAAAGATTTGATTACAGATGAATTTGCTTGAAATTACCATTGTCCAATTATTGGTTTATTGATTTGTCCAATTTTTATATGTTGATCATCAAAATTAAGAAGAAAATCTACTGAGAAATGATCAGAAGAGATAAATAAATTTTCAATATCTAACTTTGTAAACAATTGGTATTCTGATCTAATATTAATCACTAATTGAATCATTTCTACTGAACTATCAATATGAAACTATACAAATTCGAACTTGATGAAACTGAATTAATAAGTAAAATTGATATTGAATGAGTATTTAATGTATAAGTAATGAGTGGTACAATAGAATATAGATTACTATTTTAAATATTTACTTTCATATCTCTTGTTTAAAAAGTTATTTGTTCGATTGTTTCTATTTATTGAGGTCTATTTGTGGGATCCGACAAAAAGAAATGAATATTACAATTTTTATGTTTAGCAAGTATAGAAACTTCATTACTTCTTTCATTATCACTACCTAATTCATTTATAAAAATATAAGTCAAAAAATAATCATTTGATAGTGATAAGCCTATAATAATAGCATTCATAGTAAATTGAGTACTGTCCATGATAGTTAAACTATCAAGAAAATTTAATAATCGATCAATATCACCATCTATGTGTAGTTTAGTAATAATTGAGAAAGATTGTTTTTTAGAAAAGATTGTGACATACTTGTAGGTACACGTGAATGTGATGATAATCGTTTATATAAAGATGAACAGAAAAAGTGAATTGCCAGTACAAAGAACAGGAATGAGATCATAACATAGAAAAATAGATAAGTAAAAGTGGTACGATGTTTACAGACGCCTAGAAAAAAGAAACTTGACAAAAATAAAAGCGAATTCATTTATATTTTACATACGCAATATCATCTTACTGTGTGACTAGCACGAGATTACTATCGATAATGTTTCGAAAATGAAGGAATGGTATCAATCGATCGTTTTTAGTTTAGTTTCTAAGCGGCGGGGAAAAGTTTTAAATTTATCTACTTCCTTTTGTAAAAATTTATGGTTGATATGCCGCCTTGTTTTAATTATTTTCATATCTGAATAATACTATTACGAAAGACTAAGAATTAAAGAAAATTTAATGTTGAATCAAAGTCTATCGAATGATCTATAGTTACATTTGATATTATAACCAAAATCACATTGATTATAAATGTTCATTATGCAATGAAAATGTTTACGGATCAAAGTCACCATTAGTTTTCATTTAAATCAACACTCAATTCAAAATAGTTTATTATTTTCTGTTCTTTGTTTTTATTATGAAATTCAATAAATTGTATAGAGCTTTATTCTAAGTACTAACAAATCAAAAAAGTTCGTTGATATTGCCGTCGAAAAAATTATAAAATATTGAACATATAGATTTCATTGAATTGCGATATATTTTAAGGATATTAAAAGCAAATTTCATCACACGTATTCTTTTTTGAGTTCGTCATTCAAAAATCGTCATATTGGAAGTAGAGCTAGATAAGACAAAGAAATGAAAGGTGTAGACTGGCGAAATGACATTGTCACTTGACGTTTGAGTCAAATTTTAGAGTTTTGATACTCTACCTATGTACTTTTGCTATGTCATCAATGATCAAGCTAATGGTGTTCCCATTACAACACTAATGGATTCTGCTGCTGCACTGCTAATCACACTTAATTTTCTCGAATGAATCGTAAAACATGAGCGAGAGAGAGATTGGCAACTGATACTTAGAGTCTAGTTTCTATAATCATGCGAATGACTAACAGTAAAAGTACTAACACGCATAAAGAAATAAATAAAAATACTCTTGTCCGTGATGCATTTGTGTTCACACGTACGACTGTTCTTATTTCAACGAATATTTTCGTTACTTTTTTCGAAAACTTTGGTTTTTATCGATTCAAAAAAGCTTCGTATAAAAAAATCTTTCACTTCAATACGCTACTATGTTCAAGAACGAAATACTGCACGACTAAAAAAAAATGAAAAAACCGTGATTTTCTCAATATTAATATGTCATAGTCTGAAACCTTTCATCGTGTTTTTGATTCTCAAATGAAACTTCTGAGACATGTTCAATAGTCCTCCTGTGGATAAATTAAGTCTTTTTGATCACATAGACATAAAAACCTATCAATTGGTGCGGACTTCAAGCAGAGCGATGCATCTCAGTAAATAAATCATGCACAAGTTGATAAATTCTAATTATTAGTAGCAAAAAAAGTACAAGTTTCGTAGAATTCATATTAAGAGCGATCAGGTAAAAAATATATTTGTTGATTTCACAACAATGAAAACTTACACTTGACGTTTGTTTGACAATGAAACAAATGACATATATAGTATATATATTTCAATACTGTCATATTAATTTTCAAACTTTCTAATTTTTGTCTCATATCAATGTTTACGAAACTTGTACAATTTATTCCCTTGTTATGTGTAAGTTTTCAATTTGTTTGTAGTAGATCATATATAAATATTAGAAGCATAATAGTATTAAACAACACAGTAACGAAGAAAGCATCGAGTATCAAATCAAGAGAATATATCAAAAATATTTTTTCTTAACAAAAAGTAACAACACTTATCTCAAGTTTTCTCCAATCAATCAACACAATTCGATCATTACCAGTTTACTTCTATAGTTATATATTCTTATTAGAATTATGAGATTGTTTCATTTCACTTATTCGACAGATGAATTTTACTATAACACTTATTATTGTTCAAACATTCATTCATTCATTTGATGTCTATGTCTCTTAATCGATTATATACAAACATGAAGCAT